CCAAGTTTCTCTTACTAGTCTTATGACTGTAAAGGCTGTTAAATACCCTGCTGCTTGGATTTTCACAAAGCATAGCTGGGGAAAGCAACTGATTCTCAAACTTTTCTGCTCATAACTTCACTTTTTACCTATACTTCTAGACTTCCAGTGACTCCACTTTGACAACTGTGCTGTCATCAGGCTTGCAGCCCCATCATGGTCCATCAATTTTAGGAGATTTAGTAAGGGAAAAGGCTTGCTGATTTGGTTTTGTGGAGGCTTTTTTTGGTGTTTTTTTTAAGTGATGAACACACTGTCACTCAGTGTCACATGCACTTGTTTTGAGGTTGTTGTTTTTTTTTTTTTTCCCCTCTTAAGTATGAGCAGCATGGTGCCTATTACCTACTCCAGAGCTGAGCAAATTGCATTGACCCATACCACTATACAGGCTTGTAGAATCACAGAATCATTCTGGTTGGAAGAGACCTTTAAGATCATCAAGACCAACTGTTCCCCCAGCATTGCCAGGTCACCAGTGAACCATGTCCTTCAGCACCACATCTACAAGGCTTTTGAACCCCTCCAGGGATGGGGACTCTACCACTGCCCTGGGCAGCCTGTTGCAGGGTTTGACAACCCTTTTGGGGAAGAAATTTTTCCTAAGATCCAACCTAAGCCTCCCTTGTCACAACTTGAGGCTGTCCTCATGCTTGTTACATGGGAGAAGAGACCCACCCCCAGCTGGCTCCAACCTCCTCTCAGGGAGCTGTAGAGAGCCAGGAGGTCTCCCCTCAGCCTCCTTTTCTCCAGGCTAAACAACCCCAGGTCCCTCAGCAGCTCCTCACAAGACTTGTTCTCTCCCCTTCACCAGCCTCATTGCCCTTCTTTGGACATACTCCAGCCCCTCAATGTTCTTCTTGGAGTGAGGGAGCCAAACCCTGAACCCAGTATATGTCTTTCTTGGAGTGAGGGACCCAAACCCTGAACCCAGTACTTAAGGTGTGGCCTCATCAGTGCTTAGTACAGGTGCATAGTCACTTCCCTAGTCATGTTGGCCACACTATTTCTGATCCAAGCCAGGATGCTCTTGGCCTTCTTGGTCACCTGGGCACACACTGGCTCACATTCATCTGACTGTCAGCCAACACCCCCAGGTCCTTTTCCACAGGGTGGTTTCCAGCCACTTGTCCCCAAGCCTGTAGTGTTGCCTGGGGTTGTTGTGACCCAGGTGCAAGTCCTGGCACTTGGCCTTGTTAAATCTCATCCCATTGGCCTTGGCCCATTGATCCAGCCTGGCCAGATCCCTGTGTAGATCCTCCTACCCTCCAGGAGATTGATACAGCCACCCAACTTGATGTCATCTGCAAGCTTACTGAGGGTGCCCTTGACCCCTCATCCACTAATAGATACAAAAGAGAACTGGCCCCAGCACTGAGCCCTGGGGAACACCACTTGTGACTGGCCACCAACTGGATTTATCTCCATTCACCACGACTCTGGAGGTTTTCAGGCACTGATTTCACTGATCTTATTCCCACATCTCAATTAAATGGAGTTTGGGGCTTTTCATAGAAGTAGAGTAATGCTGCTAGCCAAGCCCTCAGAATTTAAACTTGGGTAGCTGAAAATATAAAAGCAGTTTTTCCCTGCTGTGCAGGTTATATATTTTAAATGGAGCCTAGAGGTGCAAGAATATTTTATCAGATTCACAGATATCAGCCTAAGAATGACTTGCTTCAGCCAAGAGATGATTCCTAGTTACAAATATAAACTGGGAGCTGTGGTAAGACCCCGTTCTGCAGTCGGGGAGAGACAAAGTCCAGATCTGGATTTCCAAGGAGACTGTCTTCCTTAAGGCACTGTGATTTAGAGAGGGTTTGGTGGAAGTGAGTCTGAGGCTGAGCTGACAAGGGTCTTACATAAACCCCCATCTGCCAGCACGCCCAGGAGAGCGCCTGCAAATGTGGGACACGCCGCAGCAGCAGATCAGCTGCCTGCTTTTAACAGTGCAGCAAGGCCTTTGATGACATGTGGTATTTTTATTACCAGCTTTTGTCACATAATGCGGCCGGTTGCTTGCTTTTTTTTTTTTTTTTTTTAATAGCCAAATTCTCTAATGGTTTCCAAAAAAGCCAAAGCTGGTGAAACCCTCCCTTCCTCCACATCCAACCCTTATTTCCTGAGCCCCACCAGGCAAATCAGGTCTGTGGTGTGGGTCTGAGGTTCTGGAACCATTCAGGAAAACCCTTTTAAGATGTTTCAGCTTTCTAAAATAGAAACCCATCTAGGCCATGTATTTATTATACTTTAATAGCTTTTCTTAAGCCCTTGTCCCAGGGGTAGGCACAAATGGCTGCAGCCGCTGAGGTTACTCACAGGGTTTGGATCACAGTTAAGTTCTGACAAATGATCTCTGCTATGGTAAATGTGTTGGTTTCCACAATTTACTATAGAAACAGATGTGAAACCTACTGAGGCTCGCTGGGGCTGCTGGAGGGAAATGATAATATTTCATTTAGTCTAGAAATTTAAACATAACCATTTGTCACAGTGAATTTATTCCTTCCCAGGCAGCACCTGACAGGTGGAGAAAATTTAAAGCCGCCTTCCTAACCACTGAGTGCAAGGCTAGAGCACATGCTGGGATTTTTCTCCTCAGTCCTCTAAAGCTTTCTGACTTCTGTAATGATGGAAATTCCTTTCCTTTCTAGGGTGAGCTGTATGTAGGGCCTGAGCCAGGTACCAGAGGGGGGAATGAGCTATCCTCTGAAGTGCAGGTCTGTGCCAATAGGAGGGAAGCAGCTGGAGCACTGGGCAAGGGTGGGGAAGAGTAGGAGCCCAGCTTTGGCAGCAGCCTGTGCTTGTATCAGCTCATTTGGGTCAAAACCCTGCACTCTGACAGACTTCTCTCTCAGCTGGCAGGTTTTGCTCTTGCAGCTCTCCAGTGCACCACCTGCACTTTCTGTGGGTAGAAACTCCCCCTCTAGCTATGTTCCAGAAAAACTAATTAGATGGTTGCTTTATTTGAAAGATCTTTCAGCTATTCAGGGTGGGTTTTTTCCCTTCTTATTTTCTACGGTTAAGAAAAACAGGTTGTAATCTTTTTAGCTTCATGGAATATTTATGTCTGTCAAAGGTATGAGCCTCTGGGCATAAACCAGCCCAGTAAAGTGTCTGGTAGGGGACATGGTTGCTGAAATGAAGTAAAGATTACAATTGAAGTAAAGGTTAAGCAGCTGGAACACGTTAATTTTTTAAAAATTAATGTCTGCCTTCCAGTATGGAAAGGATGAGACAATGTGACAGGTGTGGTCTCGTTTACTGAAGTTAGCTTTTGGTTACAAAGAGGAAAAGGAGAAAGTCTCAGGATGATTTTCTATTTTGCAGTTAATCAATAAACATTAGCAGTTTGCAAGAACAGATGTAATTTAGAGTCACAGCTACTGTATTTGAAATGATTACTGCAACTGTTAGATAGAGAAAAGAAGAAACCCTGGGTGGCAAAATACTTGTTCTTTCCATTTTCCTTTTTTTCCCTTGGGAAAGGGCAGCTGCCCATAAGTGTCAGGCAGCCTGCAACAACAGGACCCACACAGGCTTCCAGAAAGACATCCCTCCCCAGCTGAGTATCCTGTGGTGATCCTGCAGGTCAGGTCAAAACATTCCCACATTATCCCATGATATATTTGCTTCTGTAGTTTAGGGGATTTATGTTTTTTTTACAGTCTTCCTGTAACTTATGTATTTTATTTTTAAAGGGCAGTGATAACTTTTCTTCTTTGATATGAAAACCAGTGTGTTACTTAAATAAGACAATAAATAACCCATCTGCTCTCTTTCCAAAACCTCTGTGGTGGCTGATTCAGACTCTGTGCTGTCTCTGTAACCAGGTTTGGTAGATAACTTGCACTCTATTTTATGTGCATGTTAAGTACTCTTGCAGTGCTTCTGTTTCTTCCACTGAAATGTTGGCAGTTTTGGAACTACCTCTAGGAAAAAAAAAAATTACAAAATACTCGTTTATTTTTTAATTTTCTGGGAAGTTCAGAAGCTGAATTGAGACTGATCATTCAGTTTCATTAAAGGCAAAGCTTGAGTGCCTAGAAGTGAGAAAAATATTCTTTTAAAATAAATAAATACAGCTGTCAGACCTCTGATGTGTTGCTTTAATCTCATAAAATGAACAAGTAGTTAGCAGACATTTAACTATCCATTCTGAATACATTAGTGAGTACTTAGAAAACAGATCAAATGACATATTGTTAAATTTCCTGGAAAACCCTCTGTAAAAGTGGAATAGAGTATTGAGAATTTGTTTATACTGCTGATTCTGGAACATTTAAACAGAGAAATAAACCACAAAATAGCATTTTGAATATGCAGTTATTTATATGTAAAAGGTCATTCCTGTAAAGCCACAACCTTTTAAATCTTTCATTTGCATTTGTCTGTGTGCAAGCTTGCCTCTTCTTTGGTCTGCTGCAATTTTGGTCTTGCTGTAACATTTTTCATGTTCTTGTTGGTATGAAAGCTTTCTTTTTCTAATCATTTGTTTCTCCTCACAACTAATGCTCTAGGAATTCCTCCTTCTAAAAAAATAAGCTGTCCTGAATTCAACAAACAACAGTGATTTTGGTACAAATGGAGTCCTTACAGTCAGTAATGTTTTCTGTGCTGTAGCTTAACAGACCTGCTAGGTGGTTGGGTTTTCTTCTGTGCATAGCCCAGTTTTAGGAGTATTAAAATTTCCATTTATAGTTTTTCTATTGGCATGCTATTATTTGAAGTACTTTAATACTCAAAATTTAATATTTTTTTTTGCAGCATTTAAAGACCATCTTTAATAGAACTATATTCAAATAGTATTTTGATTTAATTTTACAGTATTATTATTCAAGTCATAAAACATGCAGTAAGATACCCAAACAGCATAATTCAGCAGATGTCAAAAACTAAGCTTCTGTTTTACTTGAGAGTAATTCCACCATCCATTTATTGGCTCATTTTCTTTTCATTGGCAGAATCTGAAGAAGATTCAAGAAATGGACAAAGAGGCAAGTGATGAATCCAGCACAGATCTTGATGACTTAAAAAATGCTGACTGGGTAAGACAACAATTGAATAGTGATTCAGAATCATTTCTAGTAGCTTATATTTCTTCCTAATGCTCAGCTAAAGTTGTTCTATGTTAAAATCAGTGTCTCTTTTTTCAATATATGAATTAATAGTTACTCCTGACAAGTTAGAACCAAATGGAGTCTCAATCTTCCTATGCAGACAGGTGATCAATACAAGTATACAAGCATTACATTTTTTCTTTAGACTTTTTTCATGGAGAAGCTTTTCCAGTGGTGAAAGAAAAATGTTATAGGGCAAATCAGAACAGGAAGTAGTTTGGTTTATTTTGTAGTTACTAATCTTGTCAGTTCATAGAGGAATGTTGTCAGGTTCTTAAAAGTACTTTATTTCAGTCTCCCAGTTTTCTGTCCACCACCTGTTCTTCCTCCTCTCCAGCCATTCTTGCTGCCCAGGAGATGAGAGGGAGCTGTTAGTGTGGTGCTTTTACAGGCAGAGAAAAAGGAAGTTGGGTATTAGAGAAGATACTGCTAGACCTTAGGATCTGGAGTCCATTCCAAAATTGCTGTTTGAATAACAACTCCTGGGCAATTTTGCAAGAAAGTTCTGGGTCTAAGGAGGAAAAAAGTTGTGGATTCCATCACTGTTTTAAGTCACATAGTATTAGCTATAAGTCTAGAATATTTCTTGATGTGCTTGCAGTATACTTGAAATGGGAATATAGGTGTATGGTGTAAGAATTTCAAACCTTTTTTCTGTATTAACTTAGAGATGTATTTCACTTGAGTTGACACCCTGCAGCCCTGCTGAGATGCAACAAAGCTTTGTTACCTTCACAAGGGTTAAAAATGGGCTTGTATAAAATAAAATGGGTTTGGGTTGATGTGTTAAAAATAAAATAGCACAGCTGTATATAGTGGTGGCCTGAAAGGGGAATGAAAAACTTCTGTTTGATCTGAGGTGGTATTGAAGAGTAAGGTACCCAATGAGATTTCTCTCTGTCTCTCCTCAGGCTCGTTTTTGGGTGCAAGTGATGCGAGATTTACGGAATGGAGTGAAGCTGAAGAAGGTTCAGGAGCGTCAGTACAACCCCCTCCCCATAGAGTATCAGCTCACCCCCTATGAGATGCTGATGGATGATATTAGATCCAAACGCTACACCTTGAGAAAGGTGATGGTAAGTCAAGAGAACCACTTGTCAAATCTGAAATTTTCTTTTGCTTTTTTGTCTTATGTTCATCTCTTTTTTTTCTGAGAACCTTGAAATTACAATTTCATTTTGATAGTAATGTTCAGGGGGTTTACAGGACACCTTAAATTTACATAGTACATTCAGGGGGAGAAGCATGAAACAACAAATGTTGTGTATTTTCTGTTCCATATGGCAGGCTTATAAAATTCTGGAAGACTTGCCTACATGTCATATGCTTGAATAAGTTACTTGTGTTGGTTTTATGATTACCTTAAAAGTCATAATCAAAAGTTCTGTCACACTTTTCACTGAGATATTGTTTTAGGACATTCTTATTTGGGAGAACATTATCTTGAGTTACAGCATAGTTTTTGGAATTCCAGAATGTAAAGTGCTACCATGTTATTACCTGAGGAACCCTGTGATGGGAAAGGAAAACCAGCAGTGGCTGAAAACTTGCATTACCTACTACCTATGTTACAGTGTTTGGAAAATCATGTTGCCATGAATTTGCAGGGAATACTCTTATGTAAAAGATTTTAATTCCATTTATAGAAGCCGAGCTTGTTTTCAGCATCTCCTATTGCTGCTTCCAAGTCAAGACAATATGCCAAAGCAAGCTGGAGAGTGTTGATAGTTCTCCTCCTCCTAGATACTCATAAAGGTGCAAGTAAGATTGACTTGAGGCAATCTTTTTATGAGAACCTATTTGATATTTACTGGTGTGTCCCTGTTCTTTCTTTCCTTTTGGTTTATACTGTGTTCAACATCAAGATGTTCTTTTTAATAAGCTAGCCACTGATATAAAGGGCTTCTTACCTCTTATGGGATTTTTTAAACCCCTTTGTCAGAGGCATGTCTTTGGTCGATGTCAATATTTATACCTTGCACTTATCTTTCCTGTTATTAGTTACAGTGGAAACATTGTCTTAGAATATTCAGTGTTCAAATGTATTTGCTTTCCTGACAAAACCTCACATAACCTTTGTTTAGTGAGAAAGCTGTGAAAAATTGAAAGATGGGAGTGTGTGGGAGATGGGAGAGACAGAAAGCGTGTAGTTTGTTCTGACAGAGATCATTAGAAAAAGGAATAAAGGAGGCAAAAAATTGGAACGGCTACCTGGGGAGCAAATAAATGAGTTCTGTTACAAATATAAATGCCTGTTATGTATGAGCTGAAAGTACATTCCTAATCAAGATATGGATTTAGACTATCAGGTTGCATTTATTTTCTGCAGCAGATGTCACATAAATGTGAACTCACTAGAGTGAAATACATACCCAGGTAATGATATTATCTGTCTTGCCACTAACAATTCTGAGAACTCTGCTAAGTGTTCCTACTACCTGCTGCAGGAGAGGAACAGTCCCCTCAGGACCTGGATTACTGTCTGCAGTCAGGATAGTAGTTTTGTTTGAATGGGAACCCCTGGGTCATCTAATTTTGCTTTTGTCAGACTAGCCTTTAATTCATCTTCTGCTGAGCAAGCTCCTGCCTCTTCAGAAGAGATTTTCTTCATTATATTGGTAGGTCTTCAAGGCACAGCTGCTCCTCTGCTCGTCCAGACTCTCACTGTATATGAAATCCCCACAAGCATCTATTTTTGTCCTGTTATCTTGTCTACTACAGAGATTATCCAAAATGATCTCTGGGCGTAAACATGAGTTGGGCTCACAGTCAGCTGCAGGTACAATACCTGTGGCACTGTCTGTGATGCAATTGCTGGCTTAGTCTGACAGCTGCTCATGACATTGGGTAAGAAAAATAACTTATTACTTATTAGAAATCTGAAATTCAATAACTTGGATTCTGCTGCAGGGTCTACTTGAAGAATGTGCAAAGCATGCACAGTAGTAAGAGTGCAGCTTGACATGAAATGTGTGGAGCCTGCAGGATTCACACAGAATTCCAAGTTTAGCTAAACTGCATAAGTACAGTGTCTTTAAGCTGACCGTCACGGATCAAAGCTGGTTATATATACACATTCCCATCAGAGAACACTGTCATGGTGCTTGAGAAGAGGAGAAAGGGACTAGAATCCTAAATCTGAATATTAAGGCAGCCTCGTAGAGGTGGATCATGTTTCATTCTATCAGTCAAAATGGATGTTTGGCAAAATTTTTATTAAAAGCAATTTTTGGTTTAAATTTGTAGGTAGTATTTTTAGACTTGGTAGCTTATGAAAATGCATTGCTACTGATGATAATGACTTTAAGTGTAATTTTTTACGTAAATGAGATGCAACATGAAGTCTTTGCTGTTCTTCATATTAACACAGAGCTGTGTTTAAACAAGTAGCTTGATCTGTCCCTCTGCTCAGTAGTCTGAGTGGAAATTAGGAAAGGAGCAGATACTCCTATTAGGGGCATTACTTAGGAACTATTTTGGTGTTTCAAACTATCAAAATTGTTGAGCTAACAGATGCCAGCAGCTGGAGCTCATCTTCTGTCATGGTGCAAATACTCAAAATGTTTTGAAGATGTAAAATGTCAAATTCTGGGCTTTTTATAACTAACTGGTTTCATTAGTTTCAATGACGTTGGCATTGCTATTTCAGTACGTATGAAAATGATTTCATGTCTGTCAGCTCTGTGTCCCTCTGATACAAGAGTCCTTGTTTCTGTGGTTGTTAGGGGAACAGGATGACTTTAATTCTGGCATTTTATAATCTTTAAATATCTACCTGGAGAGATTCAATAGCCTTTTTCTCCTGTGGAGCTCCCACTACTGGAAAGTTAAAAACTGTGAATGTTGGTAGAGGCACCACTTAGAAACAGGGAATCATAAGAACTAAATTACTCTTGAGCAGTTCTTATACTCAAGAAACTTAGGGCTCTTAGGTGACTTATTCAGTGGATGGCTGCCAGATACCTTCTGTGTAGTACCCAAACTCAGCATGGTGTTGCATAACAGTTACATTCTTCATAGGTAACGGTGCTCTGGCCTTCATATTTGACCTCTTCACAAGTACCTGTGATGCAGGGGTAGTAGCCTGGCCACGTTGCAAAAAGGGAAATAGGTATACAGATTGAAGCTATTATTTTTGAAAATAGTGAGTAATTTCACAGGATCATAGAATATGTTGAGTTGGGAGGGACCTTTAGAAGGTCCCATTTAGTCCAGCCCCCCTGTAGTGAACAGGGACATCTGCAGCTAGAGCAGGTTGCTCAGAGACCTGTCCAACCTCACCTGGAATGGTTCCAGGGATGGGGCTTCTACCACCTCTCTGGGCAACCTGAAAGATTTCTGCTTTCTCTCTAGTCTAAATCTCTCCTCTTTTAGTTAAAAATCATCACCCCTTGTCCTGTTGAAAAAGGCCCTGCTAAAAGACTGTCCCCATCTTTCTTGTAGGCCTGCTTTAAGCACTGGCAACCCCAAGCAGGTCTCCCCAGCTGGAGCCTTCTCCTCTCAGCTGCCCCAGCCCAACTCTCTCCTGCTGGGCTCCCAGCAGAGGGGTTCCCCCCTCGGGGCATTGCTGGGGCTCCTCTGGCCCCGCTCCAGCAGCTCCCTGGCTCTGCTGTGCTGAGGACTCCAGAGCTGCCCCAGCACTGCAGGGGGGTCTCCCAGAGCTGGCAGAGGGGCAGGATCCCCTCCCTTGATGTGAATATCTAATCTGAGTATCCTGTGGCATGGTTGTTTGAGTATTTTAAACAAAATATTCTGTATATAATCATGATATTTGGCATGCTCCAGGACTTGCATTAATTGCAGTAAGAGTGTGCGTGGGCAGTGTCGTCATGAGCAAGATTTCAGATGTTTCAGGTGGACATAGAGGGTGGGAGGAGAAGACTTGGATGAGTTTGTGCAGCTGGACATTGCAGAGTCTGTTCTTTTAGGCACAGGTCTGACTTGGTTTTACTGAGTGTCATTCAGCTGCTTTAAGCAGGGGACTATCCTTTTTCTATTTCTGCCTTTGTCACATGTTTCTGCAGAAGTTTTGGAGTCATCTTAGGTAGAGCAGTTCCTAACTGTGCTTCAGGGGGAGGTAGCACTCTCCTACTTAATGCTGTCAGCTTTTATAGCGAGACAAATAAAGGGCTGAGGTAATTGATTAACTGTGGTAAGTGATGTAGTTTTGGTGAGAGTCGTGTGTGATGGACTTCTTGCTTGGCATCACCACTTCTAAAGCTTGGGCTTCAGCCAGAGGTTACCAAGGTTACCATTTGCAGTTATTTTTAACTGCAAATCCATATTTATATATTAAAATGGGATGGTACCAGGTTGTGAGTGAGTAGACGATTACGTGGTAATTTTTCTGTGCTTTAACTGTTTAGATCTCTTTATTCCTGGTTGATTTTTGTAATCATTGGTTATGCTTCCCACACACTGCCAGTTTGAATACACACTGCTGTGCAAAAGCCATTTCACACATGTGAAGATTGAGGATAGTTTTAAGTGTTTGGAAGTATCTATTTAAATACTAGTTTGCATTTGGGGCCAATCTGGTATGTAAAAAAAAGAAAAAAGATAATTTTGTTGGTTATTTTTTTTTCCCCCCCCTGCATGTATCGTGGCTGCATCTGTGCAATATATCTCTGATTTAGACTTTAATCAAGAGCCATGAATTTTAATTGAAAGTAAAAGATGCATGTGAAATGGCTCATTACAGAGAGTTTGTTTGAGTAAAGGACTAGATCTAGTGTGGACAGAGAGGATGGGAGCTTCCTTTCAGTGGCCTTCACATCAGCATCTTGTTTTGGTACCAAGTATGAGGAGGTAACTTCTGCCAGCAGCACTCTCACTCTTGGCTGCAGCACATCCACTTGTTTTGCCACCAGCTCCCCATGTACCCTGTGGAAAATCACTTAAGCAAATCTTAAATTTCTCCTTTTCCAATGAAATAGGAATACTGGAGCTAATTCTACCCTGGTGGCATTAAGTCAGGGTGTAGAGTGCCCGGAGGTGAAAGGCTCAGAGCCATGTATTATTTATTCCCTATTGTCATGCAGAGGGCTGCTCCCAAAGGCTGGAATGGGGATTATCAGTTTACAAAATGGCTCTTCTGGTGGTAATAACTCTCAACTTCAGCTATCAACTTTGACATCTGATGAACAGTAACCCCGGGAAGAGAGACTTCTCATTTCATTAATGATCCCACAAAGCACGCTGGCCTCAAAAAGTGTCTGTCTTTAAACAGAAGAAATCAATCACACCACTTAAAATAATATTCTCCTCATCATAAAATGTCAAAGCACTGTTTAATATAAACCTTTTCAATTTTAATTTTTCTGCACTTTCTTTTTTTTAAGATGATGCATGTTGCAGTTTAGCAGCTTGGTATTCTGTGTCAAACTATGAATTTCACTCTAAGGAAACTAAGGAGGTGGGGGGGGACAAATGGGAATTTGGACCATGTCTGGTGTAGGGTACCTCCAGAGAAAGACCCCAGGAAAGCAATTAAATGTTCTCCAGGAGGGACTCTGCATCCGCTTCCATACCAGGGAAAGGATGAATCTTCTTTGGGAGGCTGTCACTCTGCCTCAGCCTGGAAACAGGGCATGTCTGAGATGAGCAGAGCTTGAATGGGAGCTTCACAGCATTGCCAAAGCTCAGTTAGGGGTCATATTCAGGTGACCTTATGGGCATTTAAACCCATTTCTTGACTGCAGCATTCCTTCTGGTTAGCAAAAGTGCATGTGATGTGACAAACCAGAGCTGTATCTTTACCTTTCTGGCTGGAGACCTTGTATGAGTTGAATCTCTCCAAAGAACAATGAGCAAACTGACCCCTAAGAAAGGAAAGAAAAAAAAAATTTAAAGTGCTGAAATTTGGACACTGGGTGTAAGAAATATAGTATCCTAGAAATTTCTGTTGAATTGGAGGACAGGGCTGGTACCAGCTACTGTGTAGTAATGGAAGGTACCAGAAGGATGTCTGGCATAGGATGCTTCCCCGTCCCTGGCAGTGTGCTTGGGCACTGTGCTGCATGAAGTCTGAACCTAGCAGGTGGATTTTTTTTTTAAGCAAAGGCATGCATTTATTCCCAGCCTACAATTTGTAAATTCTTCATAGTACAGGAAAACTCCCGTTGCTTTCTTTTCTCTCCTGTACCTCATTTAGGCATCAGAGAAAGAAACATCTGTCTCTCTGGAGAAAACCAAGCAAACAAGCAAACAGCCCCCACCCATCCCTCTTCTACAGAAATAGCTGATGTAGAGTGAGGAAACACTCTGCCTGTACTTCTGACCACGTGCCATGGCATTCTAGTGGTTTACTTTCTAGACATATTAAACTGTGTTTGACACTTGAGTAATCTTTGACGTGCAGGTGAAGAGGTGGCTGTGAAATCATGCTTGGGGCTTACCCCTCCTTTTGCTGGGATTTGCACACAAGGGAACCTCTTCATGGCCAGAGCAGCAGAGACAAGCAGTAAACACCAAAAACCCAAAATGAACATTTTTTTATCCATTGCTACAAGCAAATCATTGGTGATTGTGACAGATACAGCTTTCCTTTCATATCAGTGCCTGAGAGATGATAGAATCAGAGAATTGTCTAGGTTGGAAACGATCTTTGAGATCATCAAGTCCAGCTGTTATCCCACACTGCCAGGTCACCACTGACCCATGTCCCTCAGCACCACATCTCCATGGCTTGGAAACCCCTTCAGGGATGGGGACTCCACCACTTCCCTACGCAGCCTTTCAGCTGACAACCCTTTTAGTGAACAAATTTTTCCTAATATCCAACCTAAATCTCCCCTGGTGCAACTTGAGGCTTTTTCCTTTTGTCCTGTCACTTGTTTCTTGGGAGAAGAGACCAACCCTCACTTGGCTCCAGCCTCTTTTCAGGGAGTTGTTGAGAGTGAGAAGGTCTCCCCTGAGCCTCCTTTTCTCCAGGCTGAATAACCCCTGGTCCCTCAGCCTCTCCTCACAAGACTCATGCTCTAGACCCTTCAGATGGTAAGGAGATGAAGAAAACTGGGGCCTTAAAGAGCATCCATGTTTTCTCAGAGGGAAAGAACAGAGTATTAGAGGCTGTGTGATGGTTGGCAGTGAGACACGGTTCAAATACTTATTCTTAAAAATGATGTTGGCAACTCTTCCTCCAGGCACGATGGAATCTTCATCTGCATTCTCAAATAGGCAAATGATTACAGCCTTGACATTTGATTTAATCATTTCAAAATCCTGAGTATTGTCTGATGAGAGGTGCTGCTGTTGTGGTTATTCTGCAGCTATCTGCAGAGCTGAAAAGCTGCTCTTGGCATTTTTGCTGGCGTGTGCTCTGCATATGGATCGTTCTCTGCTCAGGGCTGGTGGGATCTCCCGCCTGGTGCAGGTGTCGGAACAGTGCAAGCTCTGTCAGGGTTCTTGTGACTTTTCAATTATCTCCTCAGCTGCATGAATACCAATGCAGAACATGGAAATAAAATATTTCACTTGCTCTTTTCCAGGTCAACGGTGACATTCCACCTCGATTAAAGAAGAGTGCCCATGAAATAATCCTGGATTTCATCCGATCGCGGCCTCCGTTAAATCCCGTACGTAATCCAGCGGGCTTCATTACAAAAATGTCTCTTTTAAAGCACATTTGTGACCAGGGAATATGTTAAATAGTAGGTGTTCTGACATAGACTTTCAAAAATACTGTCTTTTGTAAATAGAACATGATCTCTTGAAAGAACAATCTGTAATATCTGGCACCAATTAACAGCTGCTATTACCAGCAGTCCTTTGTCTCTGTGAAACCATCATGAATTGGGGAAAAATACAATCCTCTTTCCAATTCATATGAGTTTTACAATTGACTGCATGTAAAATCAAATCACAACATTCTACACTTCTTTTTGTAAAAGAGTGTACAATCATCTCCTGTCAAGGAAGGACTGGTCTATGTAAATATGATTATCTTTATATCTCAAGGCCTCGGCAAGAAAACTGAAACCAACCCCACCACGGCCACGCAGCCTTCATGAGAGGATCCTGGAGGAAATCAAGGCAGAGAGGAAGCTACGTCCAGTCTCCCCTGATGAGATAAGGCGTAGCAGGCTGGGTAAGCACATTCCTAGTTTTTACCTGCAGCATCCACAGAAAAATTCCCACGTAAGCCATGTCTGTGAGGTGTCAGGGAAAATAAAATTATCCTCATCCCTTCAGAAAAAGAAAGAACCTCCAGGCTTTGCTAGGGCTGTGCAGTCTTTGTGCTAAGTTATATTTAAAATTAAGACACCATATGGTTCAGCTTGATTCCCTTCAAGTTTTTAATGTAAATATTTGATAAATGTAATGGCATTATCTTGTTTGTTGCACATGACAGTGGATGTTAGATTTGCTCAGAATGGAATGGGCACTGCTTCTCCCCAGTGCAATATTCCTACATACCTGCAAGTATTCTTCACGTCTGGTTTTAATTATTTTATTCTCTTTGTTTCCTGTTGTTAACATTACTCTTTATTTGAATTTAAAATGCATTTTTATTTTGTTTGATGAATCTATTGCTTTTATTTCAAGTCTAAATATTTGCTTATTATTATTATTATGGAGCATATTTTTGTATATATTTTCAGTGGGCAAATAACTCCAACTTGCACTGCAGTGCACATTCAACAACCCACTATGAAATTACACAAATGCTGTGTTCTTCAATGACCATCAATTTGCTTTAGTTCAATGGTTCTGATGACAAAAGCATGACAAATACAGTCTCACATTGTGCATCTCTTCAAGAGCACAATACTTATCTGTATCAGAAAAACTAAACTAGCTGGATTTCTGAAGAGCAGAAGTGGCATCTTATGGCTTAAAATCATGAAATAATCCACATACGTACTCCTTGTCACTGTTTTTTCTCAAATTATTTTGTGCTTGCCACACGTGCTCAAAGGCACTCGTCCAGATTCAAGTGGGCTGTGACAGCTCATTGTCTCCAGAGAAAAACAATTTCATAAGTCTTGCTTTGTTGCCTTGTTTTTGAAGTGCTCGGCAGAGTTTGGTGAATGCTTGGATGCATTTTTAAAAGCATGATCTTTGGAATATTGTTTCTTTGGCCCTTCTCGTTTCTGCTTTGGATTCAGTTTGTGCTTGCTGTGTTGATTAAAGTTCCTAACAGGACTAGACATTTTTCAAATGTAGGAAGCTTGTAAAAACATGAAATGATTCCTTACTTTTCTTTCAAACATTCCATTTCACTATTTTATGTTTTGCCTCTGGGAAGTATGTTGTCCACTCAGGAGTAGCAAATTTGATCTAATAGGTCTTTAAAATTTCTAACTGATATCAATGGCATCAAACTCATTTAGTAAACAGTTTCTAAAAACAATATTAAATTTTGGAATATTACTGGGCTGGTTTTGGGGCATGGCCTCCAATGGGGGATATTTGTCTTCCACTGATTCTTCATTTTCTGTTAAAGAATTAAATTTTTGAGTTTTGGAACTGTGGTAGTTCCCCTTCAGTCCAGTGAATTGTTTGGATCAAATTCCATGTTCCTGGAGATGTAAAAGGGGATGTACACAAGTTTTATTTCCCAAGTGTTTATTTGCTGCTGGCATGAAGAAGAAAAAAAGAGCAAAGGCCTTGAAGATAATTTTTTATGTTGAAACATGAGATTTTGTTCTTTGTCACACTGAAATGACTGTTATGGCCAAAGCTCCTTTTAGATTACAGTGTGTGTGTGCAGAGTTGGGAATGGAGTAAAGCTGATGACATTCATCAGTATGGTACAGATGGGTCAGCCATAGAGTTTAGATGACCACTGAATGGAATTTACTGTAACATCATGTAAGGTAATGAGGTTTAAGGATTATAAATCTAAGTAGAAACAACATGTGGGATACTTGCACCATCTGGACAGAAATATTTGTTTCTATTAAAAAGAAGAAAAGGGAAGAATGTTAGAGTGAAGTATTTGGGAGTAGAAGATAAATTGTATGTCCATGTCCCAGAGTTACTCCTTGTCACTCAGTTTAGAGCAGCCAGGAGCACAGCCACACTTGACTCTTGGGGCAGTGGGTGCTGGACTCTTGCAGTTCTGCTCGGGGATACGGGTGGACCTGTGGCCTGTGTTTCCCAGCAGCCACAGGCCATGTCCCACTGCTCTGCACAGCACAGGAGCACAGGTAAGATGGTCGTTACCCTGAGCTGCTGCTGAGAAGAGTCACCCCCTGGCTGGCCACTCTCCATCTAAAACTGGAAACGGGAGTTTAATCTTGGAAGCTGTTCTCACAAAGGGAGAGGTTTGAGTAGAGGAATTGGGAGTGAGCTTTCAAATGACCTCATAAACTCATCAGAGCAAGCTATGGAGGCAAGCACAGCCTTGAGGGACATGTCCTTTTAAATAAAGGCATGGATTTGTGCCCTGAGCAAGTCGAGCTAATGGAGCTTGGAGAAAACTTGGTTTCATGTAGGTTTTATCAGCCTTCAGTTAGGGCTCAGCACTAGGTGATAAACACTCAGGCTTTAAAATGTATGTGCCTTGATGCTTGAAGTTCAGGTGGGGGTTTAGGTGCTGTTTCTGGAGCTGCTATCTGTGGCTGATGTTGTCTAGTTAATGAACTACAGGAAAAATACCCTGTCTCCCAGATTTGCCACCGAGTCAGCCACCTACACAGAACTTGTCCCAGCACAACCTGTTTTTAAACATCATTTAATGCAGTGGTGTCTGTGGCTGGCAGACCCTTTCATACCAACTTGTGTGTTTATCAGCTGTCAAGTAAGACAGATAAGCTGATATCAGTCAGTTTTGGTGTATTCTTGTACCTTTTTGTCACTGGGCTTGGCCTACTTGTTTGGATTAGTGCATCAAAATTTTGTTTTCAGTTGGGAAATGTTTTGAGTGTCTGCTCCCTGAATTACACTAATTGGAAATACAGATATTTCTTTCCAGAAATAAAGAACGATCTGAGCACATTCTTATCTAGGAATAAAACTATTCAAGGCCCAGAAAGAAGGGGATAATACTATGGATATATTCTAAAGGCTAAGTTCATCTAAGGTTTTAAAAAGAACAAGAGTCAGCACAAATCACACTGTTTGGCCTTTTTTTCCATCCTCTTCAAGGAAAGTACTGCTCAAGCTTAGCTTGAGTGTCTCTCTTTATTAGTTTAATTATAATCACTGGAGATTATGCTTAAAAAAATTGGAAATATCTTTATTTCAGGTCACTGAAACTTGTGTGAAATGTGGCTTTGTACTTTCAAATTATTTTCAGCTTTTTCTCTCTTGCTCTCCTCTGTTTTCCCTCTCCCCGTTCCCTCTTTGATGGCTTTTTAATTGAAAATATTCCATTTGTAAGATAGTTGCCTCTTGTTTTGGTATTTGCTTTATGAAATTCCAAGAATCTCATTCTACAAGTATACAAATATATTTATAATGACTCTGTTTGCAAGTCGCATTTATGCTACTGTAGTTTATAGACTTTGAGCTTTACTACAGTAAAGCAACAGTATGTCTGACACATTTTGGATTTAGGCAACAGAATCCAAAATGTCTCCAGTGGAATTAATCTTTTGTTTTCATTACCCCTCTGTTTTTCTAATAGCTGAATTGTTTTCTTTTTGTTGTTTTTGTTTCTTTTTTTGCAGCAATACGGCCACTTAGCATGTCTTACAGTTTTGACTTGTCAGGTAAAAGGTGCAGCAGCACCTGACGTGGTTATTGTGCTTATTGTGAAATTTGTTCCATCTGTTTGTTGAATTTTAAGAAAGAAACTTGAAGGGATTCTTCCAAGATATGGTCAGTGAAAATAAAAATTAATTATTTATTAATATTTACATTTCCTTTGCCACAAAAGCATGCCTAGGTATAGGAAACAACCATATTTCACCTGAAATAGAGTGCTGGAATTCTGTTTAAATAAATAGCCAAAATAAGGTGGCCCAGAGCAATGCTAAACTCTAAAAAGGATTGCAAAATACAGTGTCACCTTCAAGTCTGATATACTCATTTATTAATCTGACCTTTGTGTCTTTACACTCACTTCTTGACTTAGACCATCTTTTCCAGTATTTCATTTTTCACAAGGATCCAAAAACTAGTTTTGGATTCATCTACCTTTCTAGACTTAATAAAATACACCTATAAATACTAATCTAGACAGGAACTGTCAGTTCTACATGGTATGTTTATAGCAAATACTTTGTGAGTTGTGAAATCAAAAATGTTTGCTTAAAAGCAGCTAAACCTTCCTTCTTTACTTGTTAGCAAAATAAATTGCTGAGGTTAGCTGGTACTAGCTGATGCAGAGGATTCAATACCTCGTTCATCAACTGTCTAATATCAAATTTAAATTTTCCTCTTGGTGGCCATTAGTTAGGATGTGCAGTAACTTCATGAACATGTTATACTCCAGAGACAGCAACATCAGGTGGAGCTTGTGCCTACTGGCCAAAAAATAACTCAGTTTCTCCCTCATTGTACACTATTTCCAGGAGGGCCAGGCCCAAAGACTCCATCACTGAGACTGGAAATATCTTCCACTGGCCTCAGAGGTTTGTCTGCTGAGGAGAGCTCTTATACTCTTACCTAATTTCTCTGCTCCCTCTCTTCCCCAAGCTCCCCTCCAAGCCTGTGACTCACGCTCTTCTTTTCCTGCTCATTTATTCACAAGGCAGCCTGCTTAAACCCATGGAACCCTGGAACAATTTTTTTTTTTTTTCTTGTATTAACCAGGTTGATTTTTCTGCTCTTTGGGTGATGCAAACCTGCTTGCTTACCTGATCAGATGATCAGCAAGCTGGCTGAGGTCAGGTGATGAGCGTGGGTGGCTGGGAGGAAGGAACAGGCTCTCCCCATCAGAGACAGTGGCAAGCTGTTCATCCAGCTCAGGGCCTTTTGTGAAACCTTACACTCAGGCATATTGTACAGCTACTGCAGCTGCCTGGTGGGATTCAATTTATATATGTGCTTGGTGTCATGTTTTACTCCACTGAAAGCTGCAGGGTCCCCAGGGGACTTCAGGCAAACTTGCATTTTTAAAAAGTATTGCCACTTCCAGATACTCCAAAAGTCCTGTTAGTTTTAACTCTATAAAACTGAATGTGCCAGTGACCAACAAATGAGAAATGTTTAGTTCTGTCCTTCTACATGTGTCTGTCTGCTTCTTCTTTTGCCTTTTACTTCCAAGAATCTAGAGACATCCTCATTTGTTTAAATCCAAACAATGTTTTGTAAAAGCTCCCCTCACAATCCATAAATTCATTACCATGATGTTTTTGTTTTAAAATAGTTTCATAACAATCTATGCTGTATTTGGATTTGCTCGTTTTGACTGACCACTGAAGAACTCTTCCTGTTTTCTTTATCATTCTTCCAAATGTGATTGGTTTTGTTTTTCCAAGTCCTGTGTTTCTCAGTAAATAGTATGCTACAGCATGACCGAGTGATCTGGTAAATTGTCTTCAGGAGTAAATTCAGGATGATTAAAACATTCCAGTTAGGTAGATGAGAGACACCACATGAGCAGTACAAATGAAGTGGGTGGGTTGGGATGTCGACAGCGAGCTGATAAGCAGTAGTTTGGATGTTGTTGCTTTGTGTGCTTTTCCTTTTTGCTGTACTTTGGGTGGGGAAGCTCCACTGTGCTTTCATCACTGGTTCCACATGCTTGCTTTTTCACTGCTTCACTGCTCTCTGCTTGATGGAACTGCTGGCATGTAGGAACACAAACCAGCTGCAGAATGAAGTGTAGTTGGTATGTGATGCTACCCAGCTCCATGGATGTGCCTGCTGTTATCCCAAAGAGGAGAAGAGGGGTGCCTGGGACCTCCTGGTCCACTTCTGTTTCTTACTGGTAGATCAGGAGGAGGAAGTGGTAGCTACCTGTGATAAGAGTTATCCGAGAGGTACTCGGATACCAGCTAAGGACCCACTTCCTCTAATAGAAATTTAGCTTAAAACTTAATTTTGATGCTTTGTGTTGGGTTCAGCTCAAAAGATCAGTCATGCCCACTCTTAACACTCAGGTTCTTCCCTCAGAGCTACATACGTGGCTGCTTTGAAGTTGTTACTTCAGAAACAGGTGGTACATTTTGGGGGTGGAGGGAGTGAAAGGAGAAAAGAAAAAGGAAACTGAATCATGATTTAACCCTAAATTTTATAGAGGTTTTCTCTGTCATGCCCAAACCTGTGGAATGTGTATCTCTGTTGTAAGGTGATTTGTATCACTGTTGGCTTTACAAAATCTGTGTCAGCCCAGAGTGAGGAAGGAACTCCACCAGGTTCTGGTAATCTTTTAATTTAGCTAACAGAAGAGTAAATGTGATGCAGACACCAGCAACAGACTGGCAGCTTGGTCTGCTGATTTATTAGTTCTCAGGTTTGACTTCGACATATAAGTCCATTAAAGAGCACATCCCCTTATTATCCATCTATAATCTGTCCCAGAATATTATCATCATACCAGCAAAAAGTAAAACTGTATTAATTGGCAAATCCATTTTAGAATACTTTTAAACTCAGTGTAAAAATTGTAAGGTTGAGGAGTACATCTGCTCTGGGGAATAAAATTCAGACTTCTGTTGTCGTTCCTGGCCAGGGAGAGCTGGTTAGGAGGCAGACAGCATATGGTTACATGACCACTGTGGTTTGCATGTAATCTGTGGTCTGCTTAATTCCTTGTTTCGTAAGAGACCTAATCTTACATGTAAATAAAGACACATTTCATATTATCCTAGGGTGTTTTTTTTTTTGTCTCCCCTTTCTTCAGGCTAGTCAGGGAAGGTCAACACAAAGATAAACTAATCAAATTAAGACCACCTCTCCTTTCATTTCCCTGTTGTAATGAGAGCTTAGAAGAAGCTCCAATGAAACCAAACATACTCAGCCACTTTACAGGTGCTGTTCATTGTGCTTGCTGCTTGAAAACAGAAGTGACACTCTCCACCAGTGTCTGACTCTAATGAAATCTTAACCCCAAGCTGTTACTCACACAAGCCTTTTTTTAATACCATTTGAATCGTCGTCAAAACATTTAGTTTTTTTATGAAATTAGAGATTGTGAACCACAACCCATTAAAAAAAAAATTTAGAATTTTGTTTCAAAGAATTGGCTATTAATTTCTTCTGTCATAGTGATTTTTGTAAGCGTTAGTCTATTTGTTGGTTCTGACTTGTTTCTCTTTATTAATTTTACCTTGTTTGTGATGATGTATGATCTATTGTCACATGGTAATATATTGACAAATTACATCACTAAAATAGCTTACAGTAGCAATTTTTTTGTCTATATCTGCTAAGAAATTCTGGTTTTAATTTTGGAGCAAGTTATTTTTGTTGAAAGCTCTTTGCTGAAACAGTAAAATTGCATGGTTCTTTCCTTAAATTATGATAATCCATTTGTTCATGTATATCTAGTACTGTAAATTTTGGAATGGTGAACTGGAACACTGCTGACAAAATGGATTTCATAAGTTGGATGGTTTTCTAATTTTGCTTTAGTGCTTGTGAGTTGTAAAACTTACTCCCTGTTCTTTTCTTAAGAAGAAAAAATGGTGATAAATTACTTTTCCTTCTGAAGAGCCCTTCAGAACAAATACTGTGTTGGATTGTCTTCTTGATTCGCCTAAAGCTTCTCTGGTGTTTCAAGAAGACTTATAAACCAACATATGAAGAACTCAACACCATGCATGAGCAACTCTTACATGCGTGAATGTAAATAACAGCTGCTTTAGGCTTTGTAGATACTGATTAGCTACATAAATTACCTTCAAAATGGATCAGAAATTTCCGTTTCTGAGGCCTAAAGAAATTGTGTGTAAATTCTTGGGGAGTGGAAGCAACAAAACCAACCAATCAACAACAAAACCCAACAGAAAACAATGTCTGAGGTACCCTGGATATCCGTTCCATCACCTCCCATAGCTCTCATCCACGTCTGGTGGATGTTCCCTCCTCTTGTCTCTCCTCAGACCTACTGTGTGCTTTATGTTTTTGGAAGGAGGGCAGTACTATTTGCCTTCCAATCGTTTACTTTCCCAGTGAGTCCAACAGTACTTACAGGCCACTCTTCACCCTCCTGACCGTCAAGCAGGGGAGTTAACACCCAGGAAGTTTTTGGGAGGAGGGACACCACCTTTGGCTGTGGTGCTGGTGGTGCTGCTCCATTGGACAGGTTGTTCTGGAACCGCCCTGTGCAATCAAAAGACAAATCAAAGTTTTTTCTCTTGCTCATTTGGGAAACCCTGAGCTTCTTCAATCAACGCCTGCCAGCTAATTATGAGGTCTCCAGAAGTGATACTGGCAGCAGGGAGGGGTTTCTGCTTTCCTGCTGTCGCTTCCTGGGCTTGTGTTGAGCAGCTGCCTTGAATGTATTTGATGTGGAGGACGCCCATGCTGCACTCGCAGAAGGCTAGGAGGAAAAAACAAAACGTGACCTGTAAGCCATAGTGCTAGTCAGGACACTCATTAGCAAAGCCTTTGAAGATAGGAACTAAGGGTTACAGAGTCTAAGTCTTTGATTGCAGCCCTTTGTAGGGAGGACCCAAAGGCAGTAATAACACTGTAGTACACAGATTCACAGGCTTGGAATGTCACCGTGGCTTTAATAGTCCAAGTCATCGCCTTCTCGTACACTCCCAGTTGAAGGTGGGATTGATAGAGGAACCATAGTACATCCCCTGTCCTTTCTAGCTCAGTTTCCAGCATGTGGCAATAACCTCTAATTAATTCTTTAAAATATATATTGATTTAACTTATTCCTCTTCTTACTCATTTTCAACAGCTGCTGTGGTGAGAATGTTGTAAAACAGCCCTACTGCTGCAACTGGCCCTTCGTCTAGACTGTAGTTTTAATTAACCCGGTGCAAGAACAGCTTTTATCAATGCAGATTGTGTTGTAGCTGCAGTGGCCGTGTCTGGTTATGCCAAGGGGACGATGTAAAGAACTCCAGGTGCTGTGTGAGTGCTGACATTGTTGGCACTGGGGAGCATCTGGGTGGTACCATTTCCCTGTCACAGTCCTCCCAGTAACCTAAGGTACGAGTCATTTGACCTCCTGTGCCTCTTTTCACCGTGTATGAAAATGGGAATAATAACTGCCCATTACCCTTAAATACCTGGAGGCACTTTGTTATTACAAGACTGGGGAAGGAGTCCTGTAATTACATGGGTAGAAAAACACACTTGTAGAAAGACCAGATGCTTAGGTATACATGCAAATGGGAGGTTAAAAGCTTCTCTTCCTTGTCCCTCCAACATAACTTTCTTCAGATTGGAATACTGCACTTTGTACTTTTACAGGGATAAAACTGATTTATAAGACCAAACTCTGAAGCTCTCCTAAAATATCAAAGCCTGAGTCCTTATCTTGATGTCTAAGCTAAGCTGGGCTAAGCACAGCAGACCCAGGGCTTATGTTATCCAAGATCTTCTTTGCACACTGGCAGAAATCCCGAGTAATTTACTCGCTCGAGCTACAGCCTTGTAGAACTCAAGCAGATGAAAGTAGAGCTGGAGCCTCATGTTTCTGCTGTGACATGAAGATTTGACATCATAGGCATATTTTTAATTCAAATGAGCCTAAGACTTGTGCCTATTTTTGATGAATGCTAGTTGTTTAGCTCATTTTCATTCCTTTTCTGTGTGGGGCAGAATAAAGTGTGATTCTGCCCTCACAGGAAAAACTGGGTTTACTCCATGCTTAACCTCCTGATTTCTGTGTCGTGTTGTCTTCAGATTCACTGGAAACCCACTTGTCCAGATACAGTTATGCATTCTTCTGATACTTGTTAAATTGCTAATTGTGGACTATAAGTTGAAGGAAAATTCTTTTCGGCTTTAACACAGGATTATTTTTTTTAAACTTGATTATTGTTGGTCTGAGATTGGTTTTTAGTATTATGCACTCCTGCTTTTTCCACTGCTTTCATTCTTCCACATTGCTTCTGTACCGTGAGCCATTGCCTGTAGTTCTCTGAGCAGTTACTGCTAGTGAAATAATTGCACACATGTAACTATCACAGTATTTTTTTCTCCTTTTGTGTGTATTGCCTTGACAGTAAGATTTGAGAAGGCAAAACAAGAACTAGATCCAAACACCAATTGTTCTGTTTCTTTTGCTAGATGTATCTACACCAGAGGCTGGAAGAAAAGCAGATGCTTCTGTAGTCAATGGTGGCCCAGCACCACAAGAAAAGCAGAATGGGGCCACACAAGTGACAGTACAACGCAAGAGACTCCTTAAAGCTCCCACGTTGGCTGAACTTGACAGCTCAGATTCAGAGGTAAAAAAAATCAGGACACAACTTGCTTCTCGATTTGTCAGAATTGAGTCTTGTTCCTTAAATTGCTGAACTGATCTGCTGAGAAGTGATTTTGCAGACCATCATCTGAATTTTCCATGACTGCTTTGTCAGCCCACAGAACTTCAAAAAGAGTAGATCAGACCTCAAGAAAGAGAATAGTCTTTTAAAATGTTAAATGCTAATTTTGGCCTTAAACCCAGTATTTACTAATTTTTCTAAATGCCCAGTGCCTGTCCACAGTGTATATGTAGCAACTCTACTTTTGGAAAGATAGGCTGGGGAGAAATTTATCTCTTTGCATACTTTCTTGATCTGTGAATGGTTGGCCCTCTTTGTATTCGGGGTTATCCTGTCAGTGACTTGTGTGGGTGCATAATTTGGTGCATCTGTTCTGAAAGCAGAAGAGATTTGCATTCTGAAATCTCTTAGCAGTGTTTAAAATTACAATAGAGGCTGTATGAGGTTTTGTTAATATGAATGAAGCTGGGCAGGATGCAAGGATATTAAGACCTGTCAGTTAGAGTTGGATCTTGAACTTGCAGCTTCCTAGCTTGTAGCTCCACACATCCTGAAGGTAATGCAGCATGGTATTTCACACAGAAAAATAAGCAGAAGTCAGTCAAAGAAAATTTTGTGAAGGGAAATGTGAAGTGGTTCTTGTATGAGTGAAAAATGTCTGATGGTGATTATTGATTAGGGAATACTGTGTAGGCAAGTGAAGTCAGATAGAATGAGCTTTGGAACATACAGCAAAAGATAAATTGAAAATCAATCAGGCACGTGGAGCTGTCACAGAGAACAGATGCTGCACTGGCTTGAGTCAACGGAAGTAGCTGGTGAGGCAATGAAGATGATTAAGATGCTCAGCAGATACTGGTTTGGGCTCAGGAACAGGGCAGAAGTAGTGTAAATAAACAACCTCAAGGGAGCTTGGGTGAGATTTTCTGAGCTGACAAAGGGGGTGGGATGTAGAACATCTGAGGAAAGTGAAGATTGCTCTGTCAAAATGTCTTTTTTTTTTTTTCCCCCTGACTTTTACTTTGTACGTACTGCACAGGAGAGTGTGTGTTGTCCTGACTGCCTAGAAATGAGTCGGCCACCTCTTTGCCTGCAATTTGAATTGGGCTTAACCTACTTAGAGTTACTCACTGGGAGTTAAATCATGACTGTGTTATGCCCTAAATTACAGGCTGCAGATACCTGCAGTGCAGAGCTGTGGACCTCCAAATGAGCTGAGATACAGATGCATTTTCTTCTCCCTGCATCCCCTTTGTTCTTTCAGCTGTGTTGTGATGCAGACTACACCCCCACTCTCTGTGTTGCCAGCCAGAAGTGACAGGGAAGGTCCAATCCAGCCCTGTCCCCCTTAGCTAGAGAGAGTGAATATTGTACAAACTGGTCCTGCTTTCTGCTCTTGCTTTTTCCTGCATCACCACTAGAAACACAGTTTCAGAGGGGGAGCAGGAGGTGCCATTTTGCTTTGTGTGGCTAAGAGAAGTAGCAATCTAATAGTGATTTTTTGATACAGGTCTAAAAACTGTGTCTTCCTAATGAAGATGCTGCTATCTGGACAAAAATCATGTTGTCAAGGGTTAGGGCTGGGCTGGGCACTAAACGAATGACAGACTCTCTCTGTTAACCCCTCTGTCTGCCCAAAGGGGAGAAGAATGGGAATAGGGAAAGGAGACTTAGGAACTGGAAATGAAAACTAAAACAACTTTAGTGAAAATAATAACAGTAAAATGGAATAGATACAAAAGCAGTATCATCACCACTGGTGCTGTGGGCAGGCACTGGGGAAGTCCCAGACTGGACTCAGCAGCAGATGGGAACCAGATTAAGGAGCTAGATTCTGGAACTGGATTCAGGGACACATGGATCAGGATCAAAGGCAGAACAGAGTCCTCATCGGATGCTGGCCATTAAAGAAGAGGCTTGACCCTTGTGATCCCTCAGCTTTATACTGAATATGACGTAGATGGGTTGGAATCCCTCACTGGTCAGTTTGGGGTCACCTCTCCTGGCTGCTCCTCCCTGCAGGTGCCACCTCTTGTTTTCTGTACCCCCATCATGATACACAAGATTTCACAGTGACCTTGGTCTGCCCAGGATCAATTATGAGCAAGAGCCTTTCTGCACAGCCCAGCCCTTGGCAGTAGTTCTATGCATGAGAGTCTAATGGAGGGCTATGAAGATGCTGAGGGGACTGGAGCATCTCTGTGCTGAGGAAAGGCTGAAAGCCCTGGGCTGGTTACCCTGGAGAAGAGAAGACAGAGTGGATATGATCAATGTCATCAATATCTAAGAGGCCTTTGGTGGTCAAGAGGATGGAACCAGACTCTTTTCAGCGGTGCCTGGTGACTGGAACACAGGAGGTTCCACCTGAACAGGAGGGATAACTTTCCTGTGAGGGTGCCAAGCCTGGAGCAGCTGCCCAGAGAGGTTATGGAGTCTCCTCTGGAGAGATTACAAACCCACCTGGACACCATCCTGGGCACCCTGCTGTGGGTGACCCTGCTGGAGCAGGGGGTGATCTGGATAAAGTGATCTGCAGAGGTCCCTTCCAGCCCCCACCATTCTGTGGTTTCTGGAAGTAAAACAGGCAGTGTAGCTAAATGAGCCCATTTAGCTCATGAGTGAAATTTTGGCTCAAACTTCCTACAAGCTTCCCATCACAGCTGTTCTGTGGGGTCACACTTGATATGGGACAGTGAATATATAGTTTTGGGGTCTGGTTTGAGTCCCTCTGCAGAATACTGCGTTGTGGAACAGGATACACCCCAGTGTCCTTTCAGCTAGTGGAGGTTTCCCTGCTTCCAGTTCACATAACTCAGGAAATCTGTGAGAGAGAAGCTCAGCCACTGGCTGGATTTTAGAGCAGTCGCTTGTTTGATCTGTAAATCTTGACAATTTAAATGATGTGTCTTCTTGGTTAAAAGCATTCACATTAGAGCTAAAGAGCATTCACACTCAGTCCTTCAACTCAGCTCCTTTGGGAGGCTTCTGTGATGATCTGTATCTGGTGGTTGAAGGCAGAGGTTTTAAGTGAAAGCAAAGGATTTAATAATTTGGACAGCATAATGCTGTAGGATAGCTGAAAGGAGTCAGTCAAAGCCCATTTCACCTTCATTCATCTTGGAGGTATTGCTCTTGGCTGTTGTGATGAAACAGGCTTATAGAATGAATGAGATTTCTTTTAAATACAGAAGGAAGGAGAAATACACCAGGATTAGGGATTAGAGAACAGTGCAGTGGAGATCAGATTAATTTTGCTTTACCTGGGTCACTTGTATGAGTGGCTCTCATTCCTTTGGAGACCAGAGGAGTCCAAGTGCTGATTCATACAAAGTTCAGTTATTGTATCTGCTGTTCCTGCAAATCCTTGAAAGTCCTTAAATACAATGAAGAAAATGAACAGGTTGCAGTGGATTCATGAACCTCTTTTCTTATCTTGTTCTTTCATACACTAGTTAAATACACTGAATTCCAACCACACACCCATTTATTCCATAATACTCCATAAAAATGCAGTGCTGAAAATTCCATTTACTCTGTGCTGTGTAGGGTCAGTGTTTCTCTCAGGACTTCTTCTAGGGCTTTGGGTGATTGAATGGTGCAAAATACCTTTGATAGCTTGTGATTTCTGTGTGCTAAAAAGCAGTAAGCGAAGCAAAAACAACCCCTAAGGAACTAAAAACCAAAGAGGTTTCTTTTCCTCTTGCCACACAGGAGGAATCAGTGCAGAAATCAGCAAGCAGCAGCAGCATCTCCCCCTCACAAGCAGAAGACCCCTCTCAAGAAGGCACCAGCAGCAGAAAGAGTAAGTATTGATAAGAGAGTCCAGTGGCTGCTTGTCCACACTTCTGTTGTCTTCTGTTCTATGAACTTTGTCTGAAACTTTTCTAGAAAGCTGAAGCCGAGTGGTGTTAATGGAATAAATCTCTCAAGCTGAACCCTAGAGGCTGCTGAATAGGTCAAATGTGATTAACAATTGGATGGCTTTAGCTTCCACTGCATCTGAGTATATATCTGAGTATAGTTGATGTGGAACTGTAGAGGAAGTCACAACAGGATGGGGGGTAGTTTAGCTGTCCACATTTCATGAGAAAATTTGTTGCTGCAGAAACACATTTTAACCTAAGACCAATGTAACTGTTTCCTGCATCTGTCACCATGGCAGTGGATGTATTTGTTTGAAAGACACATAATAATCACCAGTATGTCTCATAAATACTTACTGGGAAGAGGGCAGGATCTGTTCTTTTTTTTTCAGGTGTAGTTATTGTAGGCTTTACTGTGTAACTCTCTTTTTCATTTGTTTCAAAGCATTTCAGTTTCACTGGAAAGGTTTTGTAATGAAGAGTGTAATCTGTGCACAATGGTGAAATCAGTAGAATAAGCCAATACCCTGAAAGACCCAATTTATGTATGATGGTAACTGAACAGTAGCATGCCTGTATTTGCCAGTTTTATGAATATTGCTCTTCTCTCAGCCTGGGAAATTTAATGAACGTGATACCTCTCTTGAAGGTACTTTGGGTGTATATGTTCTAGCAGATCAGTGCCTCGTTTAAGTACAATGTTATCTGACAGTCTGTTTTACAAGAACTAATTGTTATTATCCTGGTTGAATCTCCAGTGCCTCCAAAGTTCTTGCCCATATCCTCTACACCACAGCCTGAGAGACGGAAGCCACCGCAGAGGCGACACTCCATTGAAAAGGAAACGCCAACCAATGTGAGACAGTTCTTACCACCTTCAAAACAGAACTCCAAATCACTTGTAAGTGGAGTGGGTGGTAGGAAACAGAAAAAGAGGCATGCTAAGAGTATAACGAAAACTGAAACTAGGCTGAAGTGTGATTAGGACTTACTCAAAGAAAACTCTATTCAGAAACAGCCCTTGGCTACTAAAGACGTTTTGAAATCAAGATTTGAACTTTGTCTCTCTAGCGTATTTATCCAAAATCCCAGGCACAGGTGCCTCAGAAAACATTTGCACTTTGATTAGGACCCTAGGTAAAGCCACGTGTCTTGATTTTATTTCAGAGTGTCACCAAAAGAGATGAACTTCACCTTACTGATTTTCCGTTTGAGTAGAGACAATGCCAAAGAAGTGGATCGATTTGGGGGAGTTAGTTGTTGGAAGTATTTTAGTTAATGGCTGAATGAATGAAATGGTTTCCTTTCTTCCCACCTTAGGAACTTGCATGATAATGTTTATAGGTATGAAAGCTCTTTCAGTAATCCAAATGAAGGTTTGTCTGTGTCACTTTATTGAAGTTACTGAGGCAAAAACCTGTATTATTGCTTGAAAAGAAAGTACAGTACATTTGATCAATTAGCTTTAATTGAGAGCTGTTTTCCAACAGAGTATAAACAGCAAAGGGTATGAAATCCTGGTTCATTTATGCTGACATACTGATCAGTTCTTTGTAATTTCATGCAGGATATGTTGTTCCTCGTCTCTTTTCCTGCCAGCAAGGTTTTGAAGTGTGCCCCATGAGGTGTTGGTGAATAGAGAAACTGATAAACACATCCTAGTTTTGAAAGGAGAGAACATTCACTCACCTCGTCTCTTAGTCCGGGGGTATTAATGGGGTTTGAAGAGTGTTCTTGTTGGCCCAAGAGATGGTAGCCAGGATCCAAACCTATTAGATGATGAAGTTGACCAGTAACATTCCCACAGCATGCATCCTCCTCTTCTTTTCAGAGGGTCTGTTGGATTTGGTTCATTATATCCTTCAAACTAGAATGTAGTTTCTCATTCCAGGTGAAGGTCAGGTAGAAGTAGCAACAACACAAATAGACTTCTTCTTCCAAAGTGAACTTGGAGCAGAACCTATTGCACCAGAACCAAGCTGGAGGGTTCCTTCAGCACGTGTTTGAAGACAGTATCATGTAAAACGAGTTGCCCTGTCATCTCCTGCTGCACTCACTGTATGTGGAAGCACAAGCTTTATTTTCTGATAGTCCCAGAGTCATCCACAGACATACTGTTTAGAGGGAGGAGGGGAAAAAGCATCAGATTTCATATGCAGGCATTTGCTCCACCACACTTTGTTTTAGCTAAATTGTTACATCATAATATTGATCTCATATGTATTTGAGGGTATCGTGCAACTTAAAAATCTTATACATGAGGCCGTTGTTTTAAATAACATCACCCTAGCTCTTAACAGGACCTTTCTGATTCCATATTTCCCCTCTGTCAGTCTGTTCACTGATACATGCCTAGAAAAATATATACAAGGTAAAACCATTGCAGAAAAACTGATTCAGTTATTCCACTCCCCCTTAAAAATACTAAAGGAAAAGGGAAGAAGAGCCATTAGATAAGTCAGGCTAATGTGGGAACACGTGGGGAAGGTTTTACTAGGAGTTTTAGTGCTGGGGGTTTTGGGGTTTTGTTTTTTTAATCTTTAGAGAGCTGTCACCTAGCTTGGTTTTGGCTGTGATAGGAGCGTGTCGAAATGGTGTTGCCTTAAGAATCTATTTCATTGGATGCCTAGAGAGCTGGTTCTTTAACTTGGCAATAGTGCCCTCTAGGGTGTGAGAGACAGTTCCCATAATTCTTGGGTTTTTAGGTCTGGTGGATGATTTCTGATACGCTGGCCCTGGCCCAGTCCCACGCTTTGCCTCCTCCCCTGGAGGGCTGCCAGGTTCCCTCGGTGGCTGCGGCAGCTGCTGCATGTGGAACGTTGCTGTTCCCAGGGCAAACGCCTCCCAGGAAGTGCAGGTTACTATTTACTTTAGACTTCACACTTCTTTGTCCCTTCCCCCAGGACTGATGGAGCTTCATTTCTTATCAGCTGCTCCTGTGACCGCGGTTTCTCTCTAAGGTGAAGGAGACCTCACCAATAAATAGCCCTCAAGGCCAGTGAAAACAGGCAGGACTTTGCTACGGTCTCCTAGCAGGATTAGCAGGAAACTGGCCTGTCTTGCATACTAACGATGGTTTTGTGAAGGGGCATCCCATCAGACTGAGGGAGTTAGACCTCAGTAGGTGGGGAGGGGAAGCAGACTTGGGAAGAGGCCGAGGAGAGTCCTTTTGGAGAGGCAGGGCAGCGTGGAGATCTGTCAGGGGGTCGGCCTGGTGGTGTGCTCGCTGTAGAGAGCTGACTTGGTGCTTAGTCAGTGAGGTGAAGCCAGTGTCCAGAGTGTACATATAAATGCCTTTGCAGTCTGTTTGCTTTTTCTAATTCCTGTTATTATTTCTCCTGACCCAGAGGACCACAGCTAATGGTTTTGTTCATACACAGCATTCGCTTCTCTGCTTCCTATCTATTGTTCAGGTTCCTAGGATAACCAGTTTATTTCCAAGGATGACTTTCAGACCACTTTTTTCAACTATGCAAACAGCTTCTCTGCTCAGCTCTCATCCCGTTGAAGCGGCCATGTGTGGGGTGGCAGGGGCTATGTACTATCTCTGTGAGAGAGCTTTTGCCAGCAGGTGGAAACCCGCAAAGGTTTGCCTCTTTTTGCTGGCTTTGGAAATCACCTTCACCAGCATGTTCCCTCCTAGGGGAGCACTTCCTAAGCTGTGGCAAGAATTAAAGCTCAGGCTGGGACATTGCACCTGATTGACATTGATTTCAGTGTGTGTAGGATATTTGTGTGTCTTCAATCACCTCACGGGGAAAAGAAATCAGTTCTGAAAGGACAGCAAACTAAAAATGCAACATCACAAGATTATCAATGGGACAGCCTTTAAATGTTACAGCGTATGAAGATCCTACAGCAAAAAGCCAGCAAAACTGTTGTAATCCTTGGACTATGTTGAAAGAATGAGGGTCTGTGTTTCTAACAAGATACACTGTGTAGAGTGAAAGGGCATTTGCAATCTGTTTTACTTGAAAACCTTCGTAGTGTTTTGGTTGTCAGCATACTTTCCTATCAGAACTCTCAGAGTAACTAATAGCTATGTACCAGGGAAGGCAAATCCACTAAAAAGAAAAGGTCATTCGTTTACCCCTATGGAGAACTGAACGTGAATAAGTTATTTTTAGCCTCCTTTTCCTTGTCCCAACCAATAAGTAAAAGTGTGAAACCTGTTGCAGTAGAGTATGTAGTTGAGATCTCCAGCTGACTTCTTAGAAATGTTTAGTCTTCAAGAGCAATGAGAGTTTTGAGTGCTTGACTGATTATGAATTGCAGAATTTAAAGGCCAATCCAGCATTTGTTAGTCTTGCAATTTGCTGAGGCAGCTCATTTGAATGCTTAGTGACATCCTTTAATGAGAAATTTTGCAAGGAATATATTAGTGTTGTAGTCATAAGGAGATGTTAGGTGTGCATATGCTGAGAATGACCTACAAAGCACTTTATTTCACATTATGGACATGTAATTCTTGCTATGTGCTTTTCCTGAGTAAAAAGAAAATACACTATACACCTTAAGCTATACAGTGTATTATGGTTAAGCCAATTTTCATGAGGATCTCAGAAACTTCAAGTTCAGAATACTGTAATTAGGTAAAAAAGTTTTTCCCCTTTAAAAATACTAACTTGCCTTTAATATTAAAATAAGTATTAAGAACAATTCCAGAAAATCAAGACCGTTCAAAGCACGGTTTGTCTTTAGTATGTTCTGTTGTATGCAAGTGTTGCAGAGAGGCAGCTCCAAGTGAGAGAACTTAAGCTATTTGAGTGTAGATTATTGCTGGAAGTTTGAGCAGTAACTCCAAAACGTCATCATTTAATGAAGTTTAGTCAGTGCTTAGTGTAATTTTAATTAATTTCAATGCCTTAGAGGTAGTGCAGAAACAAAAGATTTTCATGCATACTTATTTGTATTCTGAAAAAGGAAGGGAAAAAAAATGAAGCATTTTTTCTGAAATCAGCATAATATTTACCTTTCATTTAATGTTGCATTAACATTTTGTTGTCCTTGTGTAACCTCTGGAATTAAAACATTAGCATTTAAACATGTGAACATTTTCTGTTTCCCCTGTTGCCTGCTGGCTGTTTCTAGTTGCTGTAGTGCTAATTATGTTTGATTGGTACACGACAGGCCCACAGTAACCCCCTAGTACCTGCTCTACACCCATAGCCCGCCCGCAGACTGGCCTCCAAGGAGCAGTGCTCCCCGACGTCATCGCTCTGTAAATTAAAGCAACGGGCGTTCGTGAGGGGGAAGGAAGAGCTTCAAGTAAGACACGTACTTCCCAGGGACTTAAAGCTCTGACTACAAGCCTTCAGCCAGGCTCCTCCACCTCGGACAGCTTCTCCCAGCCTCCCACCATCAGAGTCGGGGGTTTTGCTGGCAGTGTGCACATCCCGCCCTCCCCCCAGCGCCCGGCCCGCCTCCCAGCCCTCGGCCGTGCCCCCTCCCTAGCCAGGCAGTTGCTGTGGGGAGAAGCCCCAGTGAGATGCTCAGAGCTGCCCCTTAGCTGTAAAGTCACTCTTGAGGAACAGAAGTTATGTTGGTCTGGCTCCGTGCGGTTTTACACCTCGGAGCAAATTGCAGTTGCTTTCCAGGTAGTCTGTTCTTCCCAGAAAACTAGTGATTCTATACCCCAGGGGTTTGGCTGCCAAATCTAACAAAATTAACTCAATTCTAGTCTTTTTGTGGGGTACCTTAAACAGAGAGAAGTTTCTTTGTGTTCCCTTTCTAGATAGGTAAGACAACAGTTTTTAAAAATGTGGTGGTTCCTAAATGCTAATGTTTGCCAGGTCTGCAGCATAGAAAGATTTTCCTTTTACTCTAACAGAAAGACAAAACAGACCTCTGGGTACATGGAAATGGAGCGTTTCACAACTAATCCGATTCATCACTTCAGTTTGTAAATGCCATCTCCACACTGTCAGCCAGGTCTTTGTGTTTGCAGGAGACATTTCCTTCATTTATTCAGAGAGCATTACGTGTCATTGTCACCACCACACAGTCGCCCCTCTGGGCTGACTGAAAAGGTTTACCAAGCATAAAGCCATGGGAGTTCCCACAGAGGTTTCTGTCTTTCTGTTGGAAATGTATAATCAACTACAGGGTTGGATTACAAATTGGGTTGGTGCTTTTTATTCTCTGGTACCAAATTCAGGACTTGTTCACTCAAAAACATTCTCCTAAATGCTGTAACAAAGAAGAGAGGCAAAATTTTCTAAGTGGAAGGTTGTGTCTGCTGTTCATAATGCAGCGTTGGGTAACCAGTTCTCCAACTTTATATTTGAAGATTAGTCTTTAATGCTGAAACCTCTGCTGTTACTTTCCTGGGGCAGAAAGGAGAACTTTTCTGCCTGAACTGACCTAACTTTTTGTAGTCTCGGTGGGATTCCAATCATGTGAGCACCAAGATGTGGTACCAGTGAATAAAAATTTCTGCTAGAATGGGCTACTAACAACTTTCCTTGGCTAATCTGGGCATCACAAAGTCTCAGAAAAATTGTGTCTCTCTAAACAGTATGCCTAAAAATATTGCCATTTGCCAAATTCCCTTTTCCCTTTCAAATCACAAACCGTTAGCTTGATTGGAAACAAATCTTCATAATAAAAGGCAAATCAGAGAGAAGGGTCAAGTGGTTTTAGGAAGAAGGGTGAAGAAAACTGTCCCTCTTGGGAAGGCTGGACATCAGCCCATGTAGATCACACACAGTCTCTGACGGTGTGGAACTCGTGATGCCCACGAAAGAGCCAGTGCTATTCCAGTTTGAAGGGAGAAAACCCCTATTTCTGGAGTTACTAACCAGGTGGCTGGTTGTCTAGGTTGAAGTCTGGAGGAAGCCATTTGGCTTTGAAGTAATGCAGGTTTTTTGGCTTCCAGGAGGAGTTCTGTTACCCGGTGGAGTGTCTGGCTCTGACGGTGGAGGAGGTCATGCACATCCGTCAGGTGCTGGTGAAGGCGGAGCTGGAAAAGTACCAGCAGTATAAAGATGTCTACACTGCTCTCAAGAAAGGAAAGGTAGGGCTGAGGCTGTGGGGGCTTGAAGCTTCTCGAGGGAGGCCATGTGTATCCATGGGTGGAGCCTTCAGCTCTGCTGACTGACGTGTCTCTGTCCCCGTGCCTTCTGCGGGCTTGCTCTGCGTCTCTGCTCCAGAAGAGAGGATTACAGACAGCAGCAGGAAACAGCAGGTTTTTCATAGGACTCCTTATAAGAGAGCCTTCAGAGAAATCAGACAACAGTGACCCTGGAAGGAGGCTTAGTATTTGAGAACCCATTAACTAACACATTTTTTTCTGTAAACTGCACACCATGAATGGGTATTTACCAGCAGAAGTTGTGTCCTTTTTCTCCCACTTTTGACTTGTGCTTCTTGAACACCTCCAGCAAGTGTTTTGACTTCACAGTGTATTTTACCTACAGGCCTACCTGTGTCTAGTATGCAGATATAATTTAAAGAATTAATACATTTAGGGCAGAGGAACAAGAACCTTGAAATGTCATTCATTAGATTTGGCTGTTGCCTATTGTCATGATATATAAAGCTTAATAATGAGTTTTTATCAAATCTCAAAGTTGATGCTTTAATTAATTTACCCCACTATTAAAAGTGTTCACTTTTATTTCTAACCAAATTTGTCTAGCCTTGCCTAAGTCTCTGGATCTCAGTATGTCATAAAATCATAGAATGGTTTTGGTTGGAGGTGCCCTTTAAAGGTCATCTAGTTCTAACCCCACTTCCACAGGCAGGGACACCTCCCGCTAGACCAGGTTGCTCAAAACCCCATCCAGCATAGCTTTAAACACTATGAGAAATCCGTGCCTGTGTCTCACCACCATCACAGTGAAGAATTTCTTCCTAATTTCTAATCTCAGTCTACCCTCTTCCAGTTTGAACCCATTACCCCTCATCCTGTAACTACATTCTCTGATAAGTAGTCCCTCACCATGTTTTTATAGGGCCACCCCTTTAAGCACTGAAAGGTCCCGAAGCAGGTCTCCCCAGCTGGAGCCTTCTCCTCTCAGCTGCCCCAGCCCAACTCTCTCCTGCTGGGCTCCCAGCAGAGGGGTTCCCCCCTCGGGGCATTGCTGGGGCTCCTCTGGCCCTGCTCCAGCAGGTCCCTGGCTCTGCTGTGCTGAGGACTCCAGAGCTGCCCCAGCACTGCAGGGGGGTCTCCCAGAGCTGGCAGAGGGGCAGGATCCCCTCCCTGCCCTGCTGCCCACCCTCCTGGGGGGCAGCCCAGGATTCCACTGGCCACAGTGCCAGCTCTTGTCCAGCTTTGCACCCACCAGCACCCCCAAGTCCTTCTCCACAGGGCTGCTCTCCAGCCCTTCTTCCCCAGCCTTTGTTGATACCCCACCTAGGTGCAGCACCTTGCACTTGGCCTTGTTGAACTTCATGAAGTTCACATGGACAATCTTGAGAAGTGGGCCCAGGTCCCTATGTATGACCTCCCATCCCTCAGGCTGTCGACCACACCCCACAGCTTGGTGTCACCAGCAACCTTGCTGAGGGTGCCCTCGATCCCACTGTCCCTGTCACTGACTGAGGTGTCACATAGGTCTGGTCCCAGTACCAACCCTGTCTTTTCTTTGTCCGCAGACACGTTGTTCAGTGCCTTTCTTTCCTAGCATCGTTCTTACCCTGTGATCCCCACCTCCCTTGAGTAAACAGAACAGCTGGGATTTATTATCCCACTCTAAACCAGGTCTTCCTCCAGTAAGACGGCTACAGTCGCTTTTTCCTGCACCTCCTCTGGTTTTCCAGAGCATAGGACTGGAAGAGAATCATCCAGAATTATCACAGACAAAATAATTGTGTCCTACCCCTGTCCCAGATGGTTAGGAAGCATTTCTAGCCTAAATTTATTCATGGCTGAACTTATTCCCATTTATTGTTGTGTGTGTTCCCCAGTTGTAGCAGTTACCCCTCCTGACTGCCGTTACTCTTTTTTCCCACTGCTTTTCTGTGTACTAATGATAGAAACATCAGTGAGGGGGAAGTAAAAATAAGTTAATAATTCTCTAGTAAATATTTAATGTAGGTAAAAAAATAAAGGAGTAGAGGTAGCTATACCAAGATACAATTGTGGAGTATCTTTTCATCAGCACCGTGGGGGGAAGGAGCCCAGAGCTGGGCGTGCACTGCAGCTCTGGTCATGCCAACAGCAGCTGGAGTCACCCAACATTGTGTCTTCCCTGCTCTTCTTCTAGCTCTGCTTCTGCTGTCGGACAAGGAGGTTTTCCTTCTTCACCTGGTCCTACACGTGTCAGTTCTGTAAGAGGTAAGTACTGAGTATCTGTTAATAAGTGAGTGCCATTTCAGAGGGGAAAATAGTGATTTACACCTTAGAAACCCACAGAGGTTTCCGCTGTGTACTGCTGATTGGTTTCATTTCTGTAAAAGTCAATGTTAAAAAAAAAAAATCATGCAAAATGAGTTCCTTCCAAGTGACTGAATTGCTTCCCTGGACTGAAACTCATGGCTGAAAATAAGAGAAACGCTCATTAGTTCTTCCATGCTCGTGGGAGAGTGAGGTGGAATTTACTCAGGCTCCCCAGTCAATAGTTCCATAGTCTGTTGTTGGGGAAAACATTTCAAGGCAATTTATCTCTTGTATTACTTTTGGAGTATTGGCTGGAGGAGAACAGAAGAGGAGTCATTTGCAGGCAAAATGAAAAATTTTAAGTTGAATGGTGAGACAATAATTCTGGATATCTATGGAACCACTGATTTATTGTTTCACTTCCTTAGTAAGTTTCTTTAGAGGAAGAACAGTTTTTTAGTTTAGTTGTATTTCTTGTTTACCACTGGTCCTTGCTTTTGGCTTCATGTTCTGATTCAAGCTGTTGAAAGCATTGAAGATGCTTTAAAAACAAAAATGTTTGTTTAAGGGGAGGACAGGGGAGGATTCTGTAAAAAAACATTTATCCCTTATTCCTGATTTAAGTGTCACTTTTCCTAGTGAAATGATTTATGCTCTTGGTTTCTCACACAGGCCCGTGTGCTCACAGTGTTGTAAAAAGGTGAGTAAACTTATGGTCAGACCCTTTCTAAAAGGCCATTGTCTTTGTGAGGACACCTCACGTTCCTTCTGCCCTTCCCAACAGATGCGGCTGCCATCGAAGCCATACTCAACCCTCCCCATCTTCTCCCTGGGACCTTCAACCCTGCAGAGAGGAGAGAGCTTCATGAGGCCAGAGAAACCCTCCACCAGTCACCACCACTCCCTGCGGAGCGTGGCCAGGTGGGAGGCGACCCGGGCTCACCCATGGCTATTGCAGACACTCTCAGAGTTTCGTAGAGTTACCAACCATGAAGAAGATGGCAGCTCCCTGCTTTGTGCTTGTCCATCTTTCTAATGCTTGTAGTAACTCCTGAAGCTTGAAAACCCACGCCTCTTCTGCTCAGCAATAGCAATGCAGACAGTGTGACTTAAACCTGTTTCACATTAGGGGTGAAACATAATACAAGTCTGGGACAACTGATAGACATGGTGCTGAGGGGCATGGCTGAGTGGGGACCTGGCAGTGCTGGGTTAAGGGTTGGACTCGATCTTGAAGGTCTCTGCCAACCAAAATGATTCTGTGATTCTATGAACTCTATTTCTGTAGCACTTCTGAAAAAAAAATAAAAACCTTAGCATGTCTTTTTCAGATGTGAGCTGACTCTCTGGAGATAAATCTTCCAGGCTGAAACTGCACACTGAACAGCAACACAATGATGTCTTGCACAGATTTGTCTTTTTTTCCTAATTTTTCTTATTCTGATTTTCACTAATTTTATCACTTTAATATTATTAAGTTATCTGCTAGTTTTATATATTTATTTTATATATTTTATCTTTTAACTAGAACCATAGAATCATAGAATAGTGTGGGTTGGAAGGTACTTTTCAAGTCCATCTAGTCTAGCCCCCCTGCAGTAAGCAGGGACATCTTCAACTACAGCAGGTTTTATAGTCTTGTATTAATTACAAATGGTTGTCAAAGCTAATCTGAGAATTTAAATGTAAAAGAAATGCTCCTTTTTGAGGGGATCTACAACATAAATCGCTAGTGTGTTAATGTGCATAAACCACTAGTGCTGTGATGCTGTTGCACATTAGCCAAACATGTCATCTCCTGATAGTTATTCTTAAGGTGGTTTTGCCAAGGTAAATGTTCTCCACGCCCTCAGCTGGTGACCCTGAAGTCTTGCTGAACCAGGCAGAAGCTGTTTGCTCTTCTGGTGTCGGTTGGGGGACAGGAGAAAGAAAAATTTAAGTCAAGATGGTTCTGCTGTGCTGTTTCCTGAGAGCTCTGTTGCCTTCCAGGTTGACCTCAAGGTCGAAATCTGTGGATAAATCACACGAAGAGTTTCCCAAAGAATTGATGGAGGACTGGAGCACGATGGAGGTGTGCGTGGACTGCAAGAAGTTTATTTCAGAAATCATCAATTCCAGCCGGCGCAGCCTGTCTCTGGCCAACAAGCGAGCCAGGTTAAAAAGGAAGACGCAGTCCTTCTACATGTCATCACCAGGAACCTCGGAATACTGCCCCTCGGAAAGGACCATCAACGAGATCTGAGCCCTGTGCCTTTTGCTTTGCTTCTGTCTTCATGAGGTCATCGCCCACGAGCCAGGTCACCAGAACCAGGTTATCATTCCGTCGCTTCCTTTCACTTGACTGGCACGAGTTCCCCTCAGGTCGCCGGGTTTCCTGCTCCAGGAGAAGCTCCTGCTCCTGCTCCAGGGGTTCCCAGGGCCCCAGGACGCTGCGTTCGGGGTGTGCAGGGCGACACGCGACGGGTCAGCTGCTCGCAGTGGAGGGAGGTGAAACTAGAAAGCCTCTTCTTGCTGTCAAGCTTTTTTTAACCACACTTCGAATCACTTTTCAGGAGATGGGCTGAAACACAGGTTTGAAGGAGAACCAAGGCTAAGGGAGCGCTGGTGTTACCGCGGTAGCAAGCAGTAAGTCCCACTGGTGTTGCCACCTCTCCTAGCTGAGACAGAGAAGGGTTGTGTCACACGCCAGGCTCTGAGCGTGAGCCGCTGTGGTCACCACCATCTCTTTGAACTGCTTTGGTTGCTCTGAGAGCAGGGTCCAGCACGGGACTCTGCAGCCTGCACCCCCTAGGGCGGGATACGGCCGAAGCCGTGTGGTGGGCCCCGAGCTGCTGCGTGCCGTGAGCCGCAGCGTGCTCCTCGGCGTCTCCTGAGCCGCTCCGAGCAGCTTGCTCTCTATCTGAATGTACGACAAGGACTCGTAGCAGTGAATTTTAGTTCTAGACAGAGCTGTACGGTGTGTGGGGAGGATGGGAAATAAGGGAGGCTTCCAATTCGACCTGAACCAGCTGTGACGTTGTCCCCGTGGCTCTTCCTGCGCAGAGGTGGCGGTGGGCAAGGTGGGCGTTCTGCTGCTGTCCTTGGGGCTGGCGGCATATCCACTCACAACCCCATTTTTTCTGGGGTTTATAACTTGGCTGTAAAAATTCGTGTTCTGCTGAAATTTGGGACAGTGCTGTCTCAGATTGGGAGCAATCTCTCTGTTTAGTTTTCTTTCGTCTTTTTTTCATTCTTTTTTTCCCTTTTGAATTCTCTCATGAAAGAGTGCTAGGCTAGTTGTTTAGAAGTTCCAACAATGCTACAACGTTGACATCTCATGCTTTTTTGCACTTTTTTTTTATATTCAAAAGGCTTCTTTTTTTTTTTTTTTAAATTCAGGCATAGCCAGAATTATTTAGTTAAGAATTTGGGGGCAGATAATTTTGGTATTTAAAAACAAGCTAACATAGCCAAGTTATTAATACTTGAAAACAAACTACTGTAACTTTTTCATGAATTTTTTAATACCCTGAGGTGTATTTAATATCTATATAGCAGTGTATTATAGAATGACATAGCAGAAAAGTTTCAGATCTATTTATTAACATTTCTATACTTCGGATTAATGAGAGATACCTCAGAACTGCTCCAAAGTAGCTGGGACTGGATTTCCGTGACATGATTTTAAAGATGTTATTAATCAAAACAGATTCTCCCATCCAAATCTCGTGTACTGCAAAGGCCAAGAGAAGGCAGGGGCACGGGCCGGGGGGACCGCAGGGCTCCAGCCCCTCCACGGGCTGCCTTCTGCTGCCCAGGGGAACAAGGCTTCCTCTAAAAAAATCTCTTTCCACATGACGTTGCAGCCTTCGGAGCAGCCCCTCGTATCGTATCTTGTAAGTTGATTTGAAAAGCACACGCAAAGTCTCCTTAATCCTTCGCAGGGACTCATCCATCCTTATCCTTTCTTTAAACGCCCCCTTGGAAAATGCCTTTTTGCATACACAGGGCTGACTGAAACAATTGAAATCATGGGTTTAATTTGTTCTGGCCCAATACGAACAGGCAGA